AAAAATATCTTAGATGTGTCAGACGTTTACAGCCGCTGTCTCCAACTCTCACAACACCCTGCAAAGGCAGGTATCTCCAATTCCCAAATGAGGGTACTGAGGCTGTCCCACACCACGCACTGCCTTGCTATCCATCAGCATCCGCATCAGCATCTGCATCCATATCAGCATCTTAAATCCCCACTCTGGTCTCAATACGGCGCCTGCAGCTCCGCATGAGCTCGTTCAGGCATTGCTCACACTCGTGCCTGGGATTCCCCAGGACGCCGCACACACTGGGAGAAAGGGCCACACTGAAGGAAGGCTCAGGCCACTACAAGGAGCAACACAAGAGTAATCATAACACAGTGTGAGGACGGAGCACGGCTGGGCAGGTGCTGGTCACGGACCAACAGAAGGCTTCAGACAGCAAGACAGTGGGCTTCCGAGCAGGAGAAATCATCGTGGAGGCATTTATTCAGGAGGTGGCATCAGGTCTTCAGATCACGTAAGGCCAGACAGCAGAGGAGGAAAGAGGCCACCCCCTCAGGAAAGCAGTGTTCAGAGAAGTGCCCAGCTCACAGGGTAGGCTGAACCGCCGCTAGGGCTGTCACTGGAGCCCTAACGTGGGCCACGCCAGCCTGCAGCTGCCCCCAGTGCCAAATGATAAGAGCAGAGGAGGCACGCCGGGGCATTAAAACAATGCAAGTGTAACAGCAGAGGGAGGCAGCCGCAGTGACAGGAGCTCCTCCCAGAGATTACACACGGATGGAAGCAGCTCTTGGTTCCACCACCTGAGATCGAGGGAGGACTCCAAAGGGCCTCCCGGAGTCAACACAGAAGGTCACCAACAGTCGGCTAAGGATGAGGGTCCATTCACTGCAGGGACTCGTTTCCACTTGGGGTGTGCAGGTTCGAGGCCAGGGCCGCATTATTCCCAGAATCACAGCGGACAGGCCGAGCACTGCAGCCACGGGTCTCCCCCATGACCCTCTTCTCACAGGGCCGCCCCACCCAAAGTTGGCTAACAGACGCTTCAAAGAATATGGACTTGCAGGCCAAGTTATCAGCCTGCCTAGAACATGGTCATGTCTGGGCCAGCCCTGCAGAAGATATCTATGTTTGTTTACCTCGTTACTTGAAAAAATACTTTTGCGTGAGTTAGATCACTTGATTTTCACAACAGCCATGACAAAAGCACTAGGCTTCTCATTTTACAGATGAAGATCCCGAGGGTCAGAGAGAATAAGTGACCTGTTCAAAGTTGTAAAGCTAGCAAGTGGTTGAGCTGATTTTGGACCAGGATAGCTGTCCGGCGATCTGTCTGCTCTGTCACTACTGCAATAACCCTAATACTGTACAAAGTTCTTTAGAGCTGACAGAGAGCTTTTACAGTAGTCCTGGGCAGTACACACAGACACACACTAACAGACACACACACACACACCTGCTCACCCTCGTACATACATACTCTGTTTTCCTAAAAGTAAAATAACAAATACAACAATAATAATACTGTATTCTACGTGTTTAAAAACCTATCTTCCCCTCTGGCTACGGACTTCGTGTCAGCAGAGACAGAAGGTAAGTGAGGCGCTATTGTTTAGACTGTTAGAGATACGTGCTAAAGTCTTAGATCCTAGACGCTGGTCCGCTTATAACACAGTTCAGAGCACTGGCACTTGAGCTAAAGCCCTGCGCGTGTCCATCATCAGCCCTAAGGCCGCCTCCACCCCGCCTCCAGACCCGGCTTCAGGAGGACACTACTTCCCAGGCAGACGTCAAGATCCCAGGACTCGGAGAAAACTCCAAAAAAATCAACTATTTACCCCATGTTTACACAAAAACAAAAGATATATCAGACAGACAGGCACGTATACTTTATTGTAAAAAATCCCCAACTCTCAGTTTTTCAGAGCACTTCTTTCAAATTCATATTTCACATACATTAAATTATTCAATAAACAATATGTCAATTAGTCTTGCACAGTGGGGAGAAAGTTCCACACAAAATGCAGACAGAGCCAAGAGCAAAGCGAAGTGCGAGTGACAAATGAGTAAACAGCCTCGCAGAGGGCTGTGGGCACCCGAGCCAGCACAGGCACGGCAGCCACGGGCCGCGTTTCTTCTTCTCCTAACACACAATTCCACCGAAAGATCTTAATGAAAATGAGGTCAATACACTTAATCCATAAAGCAATCATCTCATCTAATTTTAATCATCCATCTTTTTAAGAGAACTTATATAATCAGGCCACACTACACAAACAAAATCATAATATATTTTTTCACCTCTTTTCCCTACTCCCAAAGGAAAACTCCACATACTGCTCATCTTGCTGAAACCACAGGAATAAAGTGATTTAATTAGAGTTAGACCAAGTATTTTAACCACATACTCAGTCTTAAACATACCCACGAAACACGGCTTTTGAGAGCTTTCCTTCCTCCTGACTCAGGAAATCTCAACATACAGCACACACAGGCTCCCAGTGACGTTCTGGGTCAATACCAAACACACACAGAAATACTCTGATACTGTAACTTTTTAAAAATTGCTTTCATTCTGCACTACTATTCAAACCATTAAAAAATTTTAGGTAAGCTCAACTTGCATAATTCTCATCATGCAGGGTGTGGGTGTTTGTGAATTTCCTTTTCACCGAGAAAAAGGAAGCTCTGTACCAGGATGTCAGGTGTGCATGGAAAAACAAATATTTTGATACACGTAAAGTAACTACAAACTTTTTTTATTTAAAGATCCTTTTGCCTACTTTACTCACAATACAAATACTGCAGTCAAGTTCCTTGTGCTGAATTTAAATTCAGGTGTTAAAACTGGGTTTTCTGCTAAAGTTTGACTGGAGCGCGATATAGCCTGTCAAATGCCCAGTCAAGGGGGAAGCGATCCAGCCCTAAGATGCCCCCAAAGAAATCATTCTTTGTTCACCTAGCAACTGAAACTCAGAATCACAGCTCCTGCAGTGATGGAAGTATCCTCAGTCCAGAGAGCCGTATCAGACCTCGGTCATTGATTTGTTAAAAATTTAACATTGTGAATGAAACCAATTCAATTCCTGGTTCCGAAATGTTTCAAAACCCAAGCCCAACATCAAGGTGTGGCAACTGTGCATTTATGACCTACTTACACTTGTGCATGTCACTCTGAAAATTCAGAAAGAGGGAAAGTATTAGGATTTTAAGAGCCTATTAATTAGTTCGTACTCTGTCGAAATCACACACAGGAGCCAACTCCAGCTGCAATCATGTTAGGGTTTGCCTCATGGTCTCAGAACGGCAAGAGCTGACAAGAGTTACTGCAGACAATTCTGTTGTTGTCGGGGGTCCTGATCAATACACTGCATCATAGTCTAACACTGAAATTGCTTCTCCTCCACTCCCAGCCCCTCGGATAAGGTGGTTTATTTCGGGTCCCTAGCCCTCGCTGGGTTAGTAACTCTTTTCTCTATAATTTGCGCGTCTTCTGGAAGGGCAAGGCAGACGCCTGATTCAAACCGCACTTGTTTACCGCCCACTGCCCCCAATATTATGCATTCCAGCAACGCCGCAGAGCGCTTCCGGCACCCCCTGTACCTGCCAAGCTCCTCGCCGGTGTCGTAGTAGTCATCCACGTTCTCCTGCCTGAACACCGTCATGATAAACTGTCACGCCTCACCAAAGCCCAGCGCACTTCAGCTCCGCTTCCCAAACCATCACCACCGCTCCTGCGCCTCCGTGGGCCCCTCATGCATCAGTCTCCAGTCCTTAAAAGGGAAAAAAAAAGGCAATAATAATAACAGAATGACAACCCCAAAAGGAAGTAGACCTCCCCAGGGCTAAAACCCGCTCACGAGCTGAACACCACGTCTCGGGAGCGGCCCCTCCCCGCTGGGTGGAGAGGAGCACCCTTTGTTAAACCCGGGCCAGGGACGCCCCCAGCCCCGCGTCGCCGGCGCGCGCGTGGGGCCGGGCGCAACCGCACCCCAAGGTCCGCGTCCCCGAAAGCAGGGCGCTCTGCACGGATCAGAACCGGCTCCGGAAGTGACCAGCCTCCCCTCCTCCCCTTTCTCTGCACACACGCCCACCCAGCTCCCCACCTCCAGGGGCGCCGAGGAAGAATGCAGCCCTCGCCCAGGCGGAGAGCGCCTCGCTGGATGCATCCCTCTCCAGCCTGCAGCGGCGGTGCAACCCCCGCCGCCTCTCGGCTCCCGCACCTCCCCGGCCGCTGCGGCCACCCCCTCTCCTCCCTCGAGCCAGGCAGTCCCCAGAGGCACATTCCTGGCGACTCCCGCTCCGTTACCCGGCCGACCCGGCGTGCGGCCGCCCGGGGGAGCTGGGGAGGGAAGGGAGCGACCGAGGGAGGCGCGGCCGCCCGCTCCCGGTCTCCGCGCCGCGACACAAAGCGCCCTGCCCGGCTCGCGCCACCTGTTCCCACCCGGCCCGCGGGGCTGGAGGCGCCTCCTGCCTGCGATCCCACTCCTCCTCGCAGTCAAGTTTCCCCCGCCTCGGCCTTCCTGGTTGTCCTGGGCGCTGCCCGGGCAAACCTCGCCGCGCCGCGGCCGCGAGAGCCAAAGCAGGCGGCGGGCCCCGGGAGGAGCCGCGGAGCTGCGCGCGACCACTCACCCGGGCGCCCGGGAGCTGCTGTCCCTCCGGCGCGCTGTCGGAGGCCGATCGTGGGCGCCAGCGCCGGAGACGAGCGGGGCGGCGGCTGGAGCGCGGGGGAAGCGAGCGCGGGGCGCCGACTCCGCGCGTCCGCCCCGGCGTCGCTCGGCAGGCTCTCCCGCTCCGGCTCCGGAGCGGCCCCTCGGCTCCTCGCCGCCTTCCGGGCGGAGGGCGGCCGGCAGGCGGCCAATGGGGACCCCGCGGGCGGGCTGGCGGCAAGGCCCACCCACCTCCGAGCTGCCCGGCCGGCCGGCGCTGCGGGTTCCGCCCGCGCTCGCTGCTCCTCCCCGCGCGGCGCTCGGGGCTCGCCGGCGCGCTCTACCGCGCGCACCCCCGCGCACCCCACCCCGCACCCCGCGCCCACGCCGGGGGCCGAGCCCGCGCGCCGCGCGCCCTGTGGGCGCCCCACCCGGGAGGCCGCCACGCTGCCCGCTTCGGCTGGGTTCCGGAGAAGTGCGAGTCCTTCGTCCTGCAAATGTGTACTGAGCGCCCAGCGTGTGCCACGCACCATGCTCCGCACCGGGAAATCGGAGACCAAAATAGGTTTTAAAAAACGCCTGCCCTCGTGGAACTTACATTCTGGCGGAGAAGATAGACAATAAATATGTAAGCAAGTAAATGAGATCATTTTAGAGGAGATGAGTTCTGTGGAGACTAAGATAGAAGAATGGGATCGAGAATGACGGGGAGTGGGCCACAGTAGATGGGAATCCTCTCCGGGATAGGTGTTTTGAGCTGAGACCTGAACTCTAAGATGATGTGCGAGCAGAGAAGAAAGGGTTGGTGGTGGTCTCGGAGGCTCAGTGAAGCAACAGAAGCGAAGGGTTTCTGAGTGCTGTCTAATGCGGCATTGGCTGTTGAGGAGTTGAAACGTGGCTAGTCCCCAATGAAGGCTGCATTGTGTGAAATATTCCAAGACAGTATGCAAATAAGAATGAAAAATATCTCGTGAATATTTTTACTTTAATTACGTGTTTAAATGCTAGTATTTGGGATATATTGGTTTGAGTATATTATTAAAATTAATTTCACCTTTTACTTTTAAAATGCTGCTACTAGGAAATGTAACACTACCTATGTGGCTTGCGTTATATTTCTGAGGACCCTCCTGATCTACAGAGACCCCTTATCCATTCCTCTTCTTGCCCCATGCCCCTACCAAGCGTCTGCGTGGGGGAAACAGAAAGGATGGTTCCCCATAGGGACTGCTGGAGATCCCAAACAGAGAACCCTCCTCCGGGGAACTCTGCCTTACTGCCTAGAATTACAAGAACCAATATGAGAGCCCTCTGAGATTTCAGATCTATATTATGGTTCAAATGCCCAGATTTTCTAAAACGAGATGAGTTAAATTCTTTTTGGTTCAACAGAAATTTTCAACCGAAGAGATTTGGCCTCGCGGAAAAAAAAAGAAAGAGAGAGAGAGAATGCCCCCCAGACCTTCTGTCAGAGTCTCCTGGCAAGAAGCCTTCATCTAAAGGCCCACAGGCAGGGTACACGTCGTCGGGATGGTGGAATCAAGGGGAGGTTCCAAATAGGGAGCTATCCAAGTTCGTATCAGGCTAAGTGGTGGGTCTGAGAATTAATACAAAAGGATCTTGAGAGGTGAGAAATACAGTCCAAAATAACAAAAAAGTGATTCATCTGGGAGAAAGGCAAATGAATACATCTGGGGGGGGTTACAAACACAGATGTTCGGGAGAAACTTGGAAAGGGCTTATGGGTGACTGCTTTATGGGTAATATTTTTTCTACAAAATAAATGTAAGTGTGTTTTCCAAGGCAATGAGAGGGACTGGCTGTGTCTGGGGACTAGTGTGTCTTACCTACCCCGTCGCCTTGCTGATCACAGATGATTTTCTGGGGCAGTGAAAAATTCGCGGACTTGGAAGTCACAGAATTGGACCTAATGTTGGTGGAACCATTTAACAGCTGAGTGACCTTGGATGTGTCCCTTAGCCCTGAACTTTATGTCTGCACTAATTGAGGCAAGGATTCTAGAGAGGGGAAAATGTGGTGGTTGAAAAACAAGGCCAAAAATTCAATCAAGAAGCGGAGTGTAATTCTCCCCATGAATGGGAGTTGGCCCTACTGGCTGGCTTCTAAATAAATGTGGTGGAAGTGACACAGTGTAACCTCCTTCCAAGGACAGGTCATAAGGCATTAGAGCTTCTGCCTGCCCCTCTGTTTCTTTCTCTCTCTCTCTTTCCCCCTCTCACTCTCGCTCTCTCCACTCACTCTCGAAGCCGTCAGCTGCCATGGTTACCCCGGGACTGCCATGTGGAGAGACCACGTGGAGACACCACAGAAAGAGAAGCCGGAGCGAGCCAGCTGTTCCAGCCCTCACCCTACCTCTCAGCTACTTGTGTTTTCACAGCCCAAGTTCTGTGAACAGAAATAATGATCATTACTGTTTTGAGTCATTATTTTGGGGTGGTTTGTTACACAGCAATAGATAACTTATAAGAAATTAACAAGAAAATAAGAAAACATAACTCTTAACAGGTATCAGATGCTAGGCAGACTAAATTAGTCTCTTGCTTAATCTTCAAGTAACTCTGTAAATCAGTTGTTTTTTCCACTTTGTACTTAACCTTCTTAGTCTCAGTTTCATCGCCTGCAAAGTGGGGACAATAATAGACGCTTGTATATTCTCAGAGTTGTTGGGAGAATATAACGAGATAATGCATGAAATAGGGCTTGGTACATTACAAAATACGTCAGAATGTTGGTATTACATTTTCTGTCATGTTCCAAGCAAGAAGGGCTCTGAGGGCCATGTCTCAAATGGCGGATAGTGCTACAGTAATCCTCAAATGATGATATTCAAGCTGGAAAGAACTTTCATGAAAATAACTGATTATGATATGGACTATGGATTATGATAATCATGACTCAAGCATAGAATTTAGAACATTATTTTATATCTGCATTAGTCACGGTAGAGTAACTGCTGCTGTAGAACCCAACAAATCTCAGAGCTTTAGCACATTGAAGGGTTATTTCTTGCTCTCAGGCCAAATGTTTGCAAGGGTAGAGTGAGAGCTTGGCTCCACGTAGTCGTTCAGGGACCCAGGCTCCTGCCTCTACTGGATCCGTGGTCCCTCAGTGTGTTTGAGTTTCTCAATTGATCCTTGTCTTCCATTGGCTGTTGAGAAGGGACAATCCAGAGAGGACTGCAGTGAAGGTTTATTTAGATCAGGTTTGAAGTCTAAGGCTTAATCGTTTTTAGGCAAGACGCTCTAAGATCAATCTAAGTGGACCGCATTAGCTCAGCTCACCTTTGAGCTACTTTTTAACAACAGGCCTTTGGCTTTTATCAAGGCCTAATATTTTTAAATGGCTCCATGAAGAATGTTTCTGCACCTGTGGTTTCCCTGTTGAGGATTCTGCCCATTATGCAGTTGAGTGCCTCTTATGTAAGCAGTCAGACTGGTTCCAATTCCTCCCAGCATTGAGCACTAAAAGAACTCATTTCTCGTGACCAAATGATGTTTCCTTTTTGTCAGACAATGAAAATTATAAAGCTCATTCTGTTCTCCATTTTCCCATAGATTCCAGAGAGCATGTGGCAAACTCCGAAAGTGTAGTCCTCCAAGTAATGTCCAATTCACCATATTCTCTGCATCAATCAATAAGCATTTATTATCTAGTATATATTAGATATTAGGGATGCAGAGTTAAAAGAAACATTCTCTGTCCTCAAGTAACTCAGTCTAATGAGGGAGACTGAAGAAGGAGACAAATCCATTACAGAGTGACTGTGCAAGATTGAATCCATTCGCTTCTCTAGATACACTCTCCACTCTTCTCCACCCTTTCAAGTTGGCAGATTGAGCTGTAAGATTATTTTACCTCATTTCCTTGTCCTCTGACTGCCGGTAGTTTGGCCAATGGGGAACTCCGGCGTGAGGTCAAGTAAGAGGGAGGAGAGTGAGGCCAGGATAGTTATTCTGCTTTCCTCACTGCAAGGTTGCCTGGGTCACTGTCAAACAAAGGGCACTGCTCCTCACCAGGGAACCTCTTCTACGTGATTTTCTCCATCCTGGTGCTGGTAACCACTCTCTTTCTTTGTCTATTTGAACCTAGCATCAGTGCCAGCTCCACTGTTACTAACCTGGGAGTTCCTGCCCCATCTCTTAAGATTCCCCTGTACTCCTCGCACACCTCCTTGAATCGTCCTAATTTGAGTGTGCCGTCTGTTTCGTCTCGGACCCTGATTGATGGCGTCATGAGAGGGGCATCTCAGACTGCTAAAGAAGCACGGAGGGAGGGCGATTAATTCATATAAAGGCCAGAGATGGAGGGTGAAGAGACGGGTGAGCCTGGAGTTTCAGGGAAGTTTCCTAGAGGAGCTGACATTGTAGCAAAACACATGAAAGGAAATTAAGAGTTAGCAGAACAAAATGGTGGGCAATGGGGTGGTGGATTATTGGGTGGGAGGGATGGAGAGGAGGGCATCTAGACGGAGGAGAAGAGTGAGGGGAAATCATGGATGTGAGAAAGGTTTTGGCTCATTCAGGCATCTGTAAGGAATCAGAGCTCAGGCAGTGCAATGGCAGGAAGTAAGAGTAGAGAGGGGAAAAGTCTTTCCCTCATGCCCAGGACTTGGATGACAGCAGAGAGGTAAACCGAGGCAGATCTTGGCGGCCTCGTCCATTATGCTCAGCATTTGGGTCTTCACTCTGCAGACTCTTCGATACTCAGGATTCATTGGTGCTAATTTGGCACATCCTTGGAGATGGTGGGTAGAGAAAACCAATGAGATACTTCAAGGAGGCAGAAATCATAGGACTTGGTACTTGAGGAAAAGGAGAGTCAGGGTAATATCCAAATTTGGGGTTGATTGATTAGGTAGATATTGCTGCCATGTAGGCTGAATTTCAGGTGGACAAACTGGGGGAAGAGAAGATGAGGTCAGTTTTGGAGATAGGAAGTTTGAGGTGCCCATGGGGCATCTAGATGATGTCCAGGTGGAAATGGGTACCTATGGGATGGATGGGGGTGATTCTGGTGTATGCTAGGGCCGCCAGGAAGAAGATGGGGTCATTTATGGACAGGATGCAGGGCTAAAAAGATTGCTATGGGCAGAACTCTTGGGAACAGAAGGATGTTAAACCAAGTAAATATGGCAAGTATGCCTGGCCAGTAGCTATAGATTGCCAGTTAGTCCAGTGAGCAGCTATGGGTTTTTCTTGTGTTTCTTGGGGCCAGAATAGGCATCACCAATGGGTGATGACATAAGACCTCATGAATATAGTGCTTCATATGCCTCCTGTGTATAGAGTGCAACGTGAATAAATGTTCATGTCTTCTTGGTCTAACAGGTTACTAACTTCCTTATCTATGCTTAACACATCTTGTGAGTTACATCCATCCCATTTATTTTCTTGTTTTCTATAGCAGAATTGAATATTCATGACCAAAACAGCAAATGCACCTTACACACCTCCTTCGGAGCTGTGAGCTATTAGAAGCACCTCTCCAACCCCTTTTCCCACCATGACTCCAAACTCAAAGCCTTTTTGTAGTGCGTGGGTTTAAGCACAAGGCCTTCACATTACCTGCTTGGCCCTCTGAACTGGAAGTTTGTGACCCCAGGTTTAAGACCCCATGACATGGATTTGCCTACTTCTCTATCCCTACTTTCCCTGTGACTCAGTTTCTTTCCAATTTTCACTTACTGTACCCTGTGCTATTGAATGTATCTCTAGCTCTCATTAAGTCCACTGTAAAAACAAGTCAGGTAAAAACAAGTACACATACAAATCACTGACAGAGTCTGAAAGGCCAGAGCAGATTATAAACATCTAGGGTTACAGGTTTACTTTTGCCCTTAGCCTGATTTCTTTTATGCCTGGCCCAATTTCTTTTAGGTTCTGACACTACTTGAAACAAAAGATTGGTAACACTTGGCACTTATAAAACTCATGGCCTAGCATGTCAGTCAGCTCCTAACTAAGGTTAGCTGCCTCTGAACAGTGTACACTTCACTCATTTTACTATTATGTACAAACACAGCATTCGTGTTACGCCTGCCCTTCTCTCCCACAGGAGTTCCCCACTATTGGATTTTTAGCACAGTTAGCTACCAGATTCTGCCTCTCTCTATGAGAATATTTGGATATAATTGGGAAGAAGAAGAGTGGAACATTCACAGGAGTTTCTGTTTTGTCAAACAAACTTAAAGCAAGATTGAAAAAAAAGTCATCCAGAAAAAAGCACTCAATATTGTTCATCCATTAGAACTAGATGGGCCAATCACAGTTACAGATAAAATGTGAACTTATAACCACATTGATTTAGTGAATGTAGGTATATTTATTTTCTATTGCTTCCAATTCTTTTCTCTGCTGATGACTAATGAACCTCTTTCAAATCATGAGTCTTAATACCATTGATTTCTATTTATTTTTCTTTCGGTGAAAATTATGGTAAAAATATTTTCAGTTTGTATCAAAATCCATCTCTTTTGGGGCAGATAGGTGTTAAATATTACAGAAGATTCAACATCAATGAAAGCCTCTGGGTTTCTTGCATGTGGTTTCATGAAAGACAAGTCCCATTACTCAAGGCAGGGAAGTGACTTACAGCCTTAGTCATTGCAGTTTGCTAGGATTTATAGAAACATTGCTTTTTAGGAAAGACAAACTTGTCATAAATTTTTCCAGAAGGTTCTGTCCGTTGAAAGATTTGCAGATAGAGCAATAATCTTTGGCCCTTTCAATACTGTATTCTCATAAATTTATACACCTATACAGTTAGTGTTTTCTGGTATATAGACTT